TCGCCGAGGCGGGGGGGAGGGAAACGAGGGCGGGGGGGGGGGCGGGCCAAAAAATTGGTTTCGAAACCGGGGGTTTGGAGGGCAAACCCAGAAGGGGCAAAAGTTCCCCCGCCTTCCAAAAGAGGGGGGGGGGGGGGGGGGGTAGGCCGAGTATGCACCCGGTACTCTGTGTTTGGCGAGAAGACCGAAAGCCCGCCCGCAAGGGAGAGCTCTCGGGGTGCAGTTGGCTTACATCGTGTTAGGATATGCTCCAGAAAATCTCAGCAAGTATATTATGTGTAAAGGAAGACTGGGGGGTCCGTGTCTGTGCTCCTTTGCGTGTGTTCTTCACGTGCATCGTGCCGTCCGACGCCTCGCTCCGCCAATCATTCCACTCGCGTTTACTCCCCTCCTTCTCTCATTGTCGTCGTTTTTTTTTTGTTTTTTTTTGCTTTTTGCCCTTCCCCCCCCAAACACATTTTTTGGCGGTAACCATAATGGTGGTCGAGTAGATCATGTTGTGCGGGGTCGAGAAACCTCACTCCGCGCAACGGGGGATGATCGCACCTCGTTGTGTTAAAATGGTCAAGCTTCCTCGAGGCAGTTACACAGTGCTTACAACTGTCTCTGGAAGTGAAAGCACCAGAAAATAAATTAAGTCATACGTAGCTGTCATCCGTACGCAAGCAAGTAAGCACAAGATGCCGAACACCCTTAGCAGGATGCAGCTCACCCTTCATGCGACTCGCCAAATACCTCACGGCGCTTCGCGCTTGGTGATGTGAGAGCCTGGTCCGGTGAGAACCCGGCGTGCTCCGTCCCGGCTTTGTAGGGATGCGAGGTCAATGGTCAAACGACTACGACATGCACGACTATGAGTACACCCCCCCCCCCAAACACATGCCACCCCCCCCACGATGACGACGACAACCCGCCGCCCGGCGGCTGCGGGCGTGTGGTTTCCAGGCAGTGGTAAGGGCTTTTTTTTCGGGGGAGTTCAACTGCCTGGTGGCCACGTGCATCGCCGAGGAGGGTCTGGACATCGGAGAGGTCGACCTCATCGTCAGCTTCGACGCCCTCAACAGTCCCGTGCGGATGGTGCAGCGAATGGGGCGGACTGGACGGAAGCGCGCCGGAAAGGTCTGCATCTATTGTACCTCTATCTCGTGCCATGATCGAGAATAACGTTGTGATGTCATGTTCGATGGTATGTAAACAAAACAACAAGAACGCGGTTGAGTACAAATAAAGAGCGTTGTGTGATGTCGTGATCAATGGTATGTAAGCAATGCGTCAATGTTGTAGTGTGATTGTGTCGCGTTGTCGGCATGATTTGACGTATGACAGAAGTTCAAGAAAGCTTGCAAGTGCACTCCCGGCTTGAAGGAATATTTATTCGGGGGGCGTGTTGTTGTTGTTGTTGTTGTAGTAGACACGTATGCTTCTCCCGTTTCAATTCGACAGGGAAGTTTGCTTGTCTGTTTTCTAGCAGAAAACAGTTCGCCGCTGCACGTGGACAAGCCCTCCGCTCGATGATCCTTCACCCTGTTACAATGCACCACAGCAACAGCAGTGATTCATCACCAAGATTTTCGAACACGTCACCAAGTTATATACCGCCGTCTAGTGTTCCGACGACACCACCGTCGCTTTTTTCCAATCCTACGCGCCCCCGCCCCCCCGCCCCAAGGTGGTGGTGTTGGTGACAGAGGGGTCGGAGGAGTCCAAGCTGCGTAACTCGAACAGCAAGAGCAAGTCCATCACCAGGGCCCTGCAGACGAGAAAGGACAAGTTCGACATGTACCAGGACGATGATCCGATGGTGCCCCCGGGCCCACGGCCGCGCATGGTGAAGCAGGAGATGGTCATCATGGAGTACCACCTCAGCCAGGTGAAGTAGCGATATTGGCGAGAGATGAACCAGTGCAATGGAAACAGCTCCTTTCTCCTGGTTTGGCCCTGAGTGATGCGTCGAACATGCACCCCGAAAGCAAGGTGTGTAGACTAGCGCCGCAAGAGATGAGACAGATATACGCATACACAGCAGTTTCGATTCCCTTCTGTCTTGTTGTTGGTTTTTCCTCTTGACGGGCGTATCATTTTGTCGAGGTGTTTCGTTTCGTGTGCTTCTTTCTTGGAGGTGGAGGTAACCGGTAGTAGGTAGAGTTTTCTCTTTTTTCCTTTTGTTATGTGTGTTTTTTTTTTGTGTGGCGCTTTTTCCTTCCTTCCTTTTCGCGAACGCAACCCGGCACCACGAATGATTGATTTTCGCCCGCTTCAATCCGCCCGGGCTGTTGTCTTGCTCTGACTGGATGACCTCCACAAGCCCAAGCAGTCATCAATGCCCCCCTTCCCCCTTCCATCACTCGCGCTTGCTTGTGCTGCATGCCCGCCTTCGAAACACGACACGAGCGAAGGTCGGTGGGCACCAAAAGAAACCCGGGCGAGGCAGGAAGGCCGGGGGCGGAGGCGGCAAGGGCAGAGGCGGCGAGGGGGGTGGGGTCGGTGGCGAGGATGAGTGGCGCTTGTCAGCGGCGAAAAAGGCCACGCTTCTGGAGGCGTACAGCGACGAGCCCGGGACGAAGGCGTACATGCCCAACCCGCTGTCGGGGTGGAGGCGGCAGAGGTGCCCGCTGGCGTCCAGCAATGTGCGTGTTTTTGGCATGGGTAGGCTGTGGCTTAATTTCATAGGTGGGACTGCTGTTGATGAAGGGAAAAGGGGGGGGCTTCGCACGTGAAATGGTACACGGGGGGGGATGCTTCTTCGGCACCGGTGTCACTGTGATCATCAGCAGCAGCTGCAGCAGCAAGTCAATCGATCCTTTTGTACCCGTGTACTTGGAGGTAATTCCAGCGACGGGTTGGCTTTGGACTTGCTTGGAAGATAGTATTGTAGATGGGGAGAACTTCTTGTGCTTGTTTTTTTTTTTTTTTGGAAGGGCGATGGCGACGGAGTAGTCTGGGGCCCTACCGATCTACCGATTCCTCTGCTTGGGGCTCACTCTCGTTTGGTCTTTGGTGATAGTTTTGATTGGCGCACTGGTGCCTACGGCTCGCAACGGGCATTTTCACGTTTTTGTGGGCATCTTTTTTTGTCTCCTGCTGAGCGCTTCTTGGTATCTAGACAATCCCCCCCCCGAGTGCATACCGTCGAGCTGGCATTCATTTTGTTGGCTGCATTGCTGTGTTGGTAGAACACAGGGCTCTCTCTTGCTCTCTCTCTCTCTCTCTCTCTCTCTCTCTCTCTCGCGCGCGCGCGCTCGCGCCCTGCACGGCAGTTGTTGGCATCCTTTTGACTTGTACATGTGTCCCCCCCCACCACACTTGTACCTTTTTTTGTCTGTCTGCGACGCAGGTAGCGCGCTCGAGTCGGTCTCGGTTGCTGTGCGAGATGAAGGACTTCATCAAGAGCAAGGTAAAGATTTCACTCCCGGTTGTGAAATGAACCTAGAAATTTTGTTGCGAGTGTGGGTCGTTGTGGCTGCTTACCGCTGTCAGGAGAGACGGCATAAGTTTGGAGACGGTTCCGGTTGGCGCCGCTCCTTCCATAGTTTTTAAGGTCTTGCTCATAGTTTTTTCTCGTTTAATTCCTGCTCGTGTGCACGAGTACAAGTGGGATGAATCGGTCGCATCTCCGCCGAAGTTGTGCAGCTCCGCCCCGCGTTGTTTCATTGTCTCGTGTTGCGTGTGATCCATGTTCCGACCACGGTTTTCTTTTGCTTTGTGTGTGGTACAAAAACTGATTTTCTATCCCCACAACCTGCACTGTGCTCTCCGGCACAACCCGGTGTTTGCTCCCTCCAGCACTTTAGTTTTTCGCGAATCCCATGCATGGCACTGCCGCGAAGTAAAACACGACAAAACGCAGCAGCAGCGAGAGAGCGGTTAAGCCCCCCTCCCCCCCCCAACCTCATCTTTCATACCACCCCTTCCTCCTATCTCCTCTCTCTCTCTCTCTCTCTCTCTCT